TTTCGTGTTTAGGGTTTCGGGTTTCGGGAGCTTCTGCAATCCGAGAGTCTCGTTTGGTCTGCTTCAGTGAGGTTTTGAGGCTTCAGGGGGTTTGGGATGTGTACCCATGCATCACGTAAATATACACAGAAGATGGAGGACTTGGAGCTGCACGGGGTCCTGACAATCGGACCTTCTCCCCGCCCACCAGCAGACAAGGCGCACGTACGCTGTGTCGAGCTCTTCCACGTAGATCATGGTATGAAACGACCTGGGCTAGGGTTTAGGGTTTAGGGTTTCGGGTTTCGGGTTTGGGGTCTGCGGTTTCGGGTTTGGGGTTAGGGTTTCAGGTTTAATGTTTAAGGTTTAGGGTTAGGGCTTAGGCGCGTGGGGGAAGGGGCCAGCGAACATCAAAACACCCAAACACAAGACGAACCCAAGCTTCACCGTGGCCCTAGGAATATACCCTAAACCCTAAACCCTAAACCCTAAACCCTAAACCCTAAACCCTAAAACCTAAACCCCCCTAATGGAAACTCCCCAGAAGGGCCCATCAGGGTGACAACCCAACATGCCAGCAGACGCTAAACCCTCGCATTAACATGTCCCTGCCTTTCCTTACTGGCTCAAGACCCAACTTTTCAACTTTTGGGCTTCTTATAAGGTAGTTTATTCTGAAAGTTTCAAATTCTATTTCCTTGGGTGTTGGGCCAGTAAGTTTCAAAGCCAGCACATCGCCCTTTCACGGATCCTGCAACGCTCAGCCCTGAACCCGACATCGCCCTTCCGCAAACTGCCTCGAACGCGTCGCAGGCAAAGAACCGGCTTTCCAAAGCAGGGCAAGGGAAGAAAGGGCTTTCTGATAAGGGTTAGGGGCTTATGGAGTTTCTGCCTTAAACCACACAAAGTTGCTGGGGCTTAGGACCCTGTCGGACGTATGCCAAACGCATAAGAGAATGAGGAAACAACAGGAACCCTCAGCCCTGAAGCCTAAAAAACCGAAGCTTCCAAGGCAGTCTAAGCCCCCAAGGACGACCCAGGCCCCGCGCACAGCTGGCGGCTTGACTCCCGGAAAGAACTTGTCCTAAGTGGGCAAGCGTTTGGGGTTACAGGTTAGTTGGAGGGTTAGAACGATAATGATAGGCGTGTTGATGCGTGTTGGGATGCGAGGGGCAATTATAGGGCTGTAAGGCAAATTATAGAGTTGCGCTCCGCAAGAATGAAAACCTTAAAACCCGAGAGTGAGAGGGCGAGGGACACTTGTAAAACAAGAAGTTGCACTAAGCGGTCAGGCTGGTGTCCAGCGTCTTGGGGTTTTAGGGTTGAGGGTTCTCAAGACTTGGGGGCTTTTTGTATGGTTAAAAAACGGAGCAAAACGGCTACAGCTCCTGCCTACTTGGCTACTAAGTAGACGTAGGAAATGGATTTCATGAGCCACGGCTTAGGGTTTAGGGTTTAGGGCTTAGGGTTTAGGGTTTACGGTTTAGGGTTTAGGGTTTAGGGTTGACGAGAAAAGGATTACCTGACGATCTCGACTGGGGCCGCGGCAATCTGAGTCCAAATCTTCTCCACGCCTGCGGTTGTCGAATTGGCCAGGTCCGAACCCTGAATACCCTCAACCTTCTCAGAGACTCTAAGACCCCTTAATTGAGGAGGAATAATCCTTGAACCATGCAAGGAACCCTATTACATTTAAAGGAATATTCCTTAATTGGGTATTGGAGTCTCTGGGTTCAGGGTTCAGGGTTGAGGGCCGTCTGAGCTTTCTGTTAATAAGTACCATGACCCTGCCAGTAGGCCTGAACTCCATACCTTACAAGCCCTGAACCCTTAACCCCTAAACTTTCAAGCTAAACCCTAAACCCTAAACCCTGGAGACTAAACCCCAAAAGATTGCAGGCTCGGAGACAAGGCCCCCTACTTCAGAGCCCTCGAAGCGGTAAGGGACTAAACCCTGAATCCTGAAACCTAAACCCTAACCCTAAACCCTAAACCCTAAACCCTAAACCCTAAACCCCTACAGATCCTAAATAGGGGGCACCTCGGACCCCTCAAGCTTGCCGAGCACGCCTGTCGGCTAGCTTCTAAGCTTGGACATGCTTGGACCGCTTGACGCAACTCCAAACTCAACCCTGAACTCTGAACCCTAACCCGGAAGCCTAAACCCTAAACCCTAAACCCTAAACCCCTAAACCCCTAAACCCCCTAACCCCCTGAACCCGTAAAGCCCTAAACCTCCAAATGCCCCAAAGTACCCTAACTTGGTTGCTGAGTTCATAAGCCCCCCAAAAAGTGTACACGGTCAGTTTTATAGGGGGTATAGTATCCCAAAAAGTGTAAAGTCTACTCACTCAGCTACTAGGGTTTAGGGTTTAGGGTTTAGGGTTTAGGGCTACAGGCCAAAGCTCCCGAAAGCTTCGCCGAAGCTCCCTGCAAGCTTAGCCCGGTGCCTGGTCTCTTCACGTTCAAGATCCACAAGTCGTTCAGGGGGTCATCCTGGGGCGAAAGGGTTAGGGTTTAGGGTTTAGGGTTTAGGGTTTAGGGTTTAGGGTTTAGGGTTTAGGGTTTAGGGTTTACAGGGTTCAAGGTTAAGGTGTCAGGGAGTCGAGGGAGTTCAGGATTCGGAGGATGTACCTTGGATTCTATTTTCTTACAGATTCGTAGCAACTACCCTTAACTTAGTCGGTACATCTTTGAGGTACAACCAGTAAAGCTGTTGGTAAAGAGGAACCCACGTAGGGCTAAAGGGTTGGTTGAGGGGAGTTTAGATGTTGGTACCTTGGGTGGTGCGGTCTGGAGGGGGCGCCAGGGGCTTTCTTGTAGGAGGGTTTAGGGTTTAGGGTTCAGGGGTCTTCAGGGAGCAGGGTTAGAATGGGATCTGAAAAGGTCAGCCTCGTGCTTCATGGGTTGTAATACTGGGAACCTGGGGAAAAGAAGAGGAACAATAACACCACTGTTCACAGGTGAGGTGAAGTAGGGTATATATTTTTCTTGTACCCCCCAAAAGGACACCAGGTATATACACTCACCAATATTGAAAAGTAACCTTATATACACTCACCAATAACAGTAACATAAACCCTGCTTCAGGTAGAATATTTTGCTTCAGGGCTTGATTGCGGGTGAAAGGCTTCTGTGTTGACGGGACTTCGGGCTAAACTCCGGCCCCACACGTCCTGCAAGCCCTAACCCCTTTCAACCTCGGGCCCTAAACCCTAAACCCTAAACCCTAAACCCTAAACCCTAAACCCTAAACCCTAAACCCTAAACCCTAAACCCTAAACCCTAAACCCTAAACCTAAATACTCTTGAGGTGGGCTTCTTCATGGGGGGGAGCGGGGGGGCTTGAGGAAGCGGCATTGAGAACTTGAGCAGGGGGGAGTCACAGGCCTGACGCCCTGAAACACTGAACCCCGACCCAAAACGCTAAACCCTAAACCCTAAATCTGAAAGCCTAAACCCTAAACCCTAAACCCTGAACCCTAAACCCTAAACCCTAAACCCCAAACCCTAAACCCTAAACCCTAAACCCTAAACCCTAGACCCTAAACCCTAAACCCTAACCCTGGGAGCTGAAGGCGCTGAGGGTTGTGGAGCTTAAGGGTATCACCCCCGGGACTTGGTAGGCCCGTAAGCATAGCATCGTAAGCGGCTCCTGCTTGGGGGGTTCGTAGCTTCAAGGGCAAGAAGGGTATCGCCGAGCTACCAAGAGCCTCTCAACTCTAAACTCTAAACTGGCCCCAGATCCTAAGCCTACCTTAAACCTAGAATACCTCAACCCCTAAACCTGCCCTGCCCCCCTAAACCCTAAACCCTAGAACCCAAACCCCCAAACAGATTCTGTAGGCCTGGTTGTTCCCACCGAAGAGAACCACCTGCGTGTCGTTCGATCGCGCCTTCCGGGCCTGGGCAAGATCCGGTGTAGGGTCTAGGGTTTAGGGTTCAGGGTTTAGGGTTTAGGGCTTAGGGATCATTGTAGGGCTCAGACACACCCCAAAACACCCAAATCGTTGTTGGACTCCGGCCGCTTCGGGGCCTGAGCCTGCTGAGGGGGCACCAAGACCTGGGTTTACAAGGGCCATATTAGACTCACGAAGCCTACTGCCCCGCAACAAGTGATCACGTCCTAAAAAACAACCCGAAAAACCCAAGCCTACCATGTGGAAGGCCCGTGTAACTCTTGGATGTGACAAGTGCGTGTACGCCCTATTCCACCCTATTCATCAAGCCTATCCATCCTACTAAACCCCATCAAACCCTGTTGAATCCTCAGACCTATGAAGAGCCCCGTGAAAACCTAATACATGGAGGTTCATGGTACTTACTAACCAATTTTACCGGTACTTCGGGACCACTCATAAGCGCCTTAAGTGCCCGAATATGGTGAGAAGTACAGTTGTAAGTACAGTTATAATTGGTTAGTAAGTACCATGAAGCTCCTAGTACTAAAACTCCAACTAAACCCTCATGTAAACTCTCAATGACCCTACCCCAAAACAGCCCAAATGAGCCCTGATCAATACAAATGCCCAACTAGCTCCTCAAAATCCTGTTTTAGCAATAGAAGCACGAAGCGCTAATCAGCCCCAAAAGAAGCGCTAGTAAAACCTACCACGCCCAAATAGACCTGAAATTCTGCCTAATAGAAAGCCGGACACCCCGCTACGCCTAAAAAGCCCCGATCTTCCCTACTATAAGCCTTAAATAAATGAGCCCCGCCCCCCCCCCCCCCCCCCCCCCCCCGCCCCTCCCCCCCGCCAAAAGCTCATTTCTTTCTCCGCCGCGAACTTCGCACAACTTTGGCCCAGGATCCGGGCAGCTTGCAAGGTTCGGGGCTGATTGTTTAAACTATTCAGGGCTTTGGGATTTAGAAGACCACCAGTATTCAGTTGTACGGACTGTAGGGCCAGTCTGTATCAATTTCTGTAAACAGTTGCCATGTTAATGGACCATGTAACTACCCCTAAACCCTAAACCCTAAACCCTAAACCCGAAACCCTAAACCCTAAACCCTAAACCCCCTAGGGGTCCCAGGGCCGGTATGGCACCCAGTCGGGAGTTCGGCCCCAGTTCACAATCGCCCCGTCGGCTCGCAGAGCAGCGAAGCCGGCGCAGCAACCTTAGCTTCGCTTGAGGGGCAGCGCAAGGCGATTAAGGTATACAAAAAAACATATGTATGTATGTGTATATATATATAGAGTTTTTGTCAATTTATTTGTCTATTGTAATATGTATGTATATATATATGTGTATATATATATATATATATATTGACATTGCTTTATTCTTTTATTGTTTACTGCTACGTACTTCTTGAAATGCTACGATCTCCCACCCCCCCATTGAAAAGTCAAATTTTCAATGATCATTGAAGTTGATCTGCTGAATGGTGCCCTGGGCTTACGAGGGGAGAATTCCGGGCTTAGCGGTGCCGGGGGTTACGGTTTTGGGCTCCAAGGGCCGCAAGGACAGAGTAAGGGTGACGAGGATACGAGCTACAAGTTTCGTGACAAGGGGTTTAGGGTTTAGGGTTTAGGGGTTAGGGTTTAGGGTTTAGGGTTTAGGGCTTAGGGTTTCGGGGTTTAGGGTTTAGGGTTTAGGGTTTCGGGTTCACTAGAGAAAAGAGGGAACAGCGACGCGCAGCAGCAAGTCCAAGAGACTTTGGATCTGAAGGATGTTCTTCAAGCTCTCCCGAACAAGGCCTTGGAAGGTTTGGGGGCCCAATCAAGGGATTAGGGTTTAGGGTTTAGGGATTAGGGTTTAGGGTTTAGGGTTTAGGGTTTAGGGATGAAGACTCATACCCCTAAGGTTGTACCACTAAAGGCTCCACTTAATACACTCCTAATGTGGCTCTTAAACTCCCGTACGGATCCTTAAAAAGGGAGTTCTTCAAGCTCTCCCGAACAAGGCCTTTTGTAGGGTTCTGGGAGGGTTTAGGGTTTAGGGTTTGAGGTGCCTAGGGGAAGTTTAGGGAAGCTTGGCGAGCCTTAGCGAGTAAACCCTAAACCCTAAACCCTAAACCCTAAACCTTAAACCCTAAACCCTAAACCCTAAACCCCCTTGAACCCCCCTCAAGAACCCTGTACGCCCTGGAAGGCTCGGGGGCCCCAAAGGCACCAAGATCAAGTAGCGTCAAGGGTTTAGGGTTTAGGGTTTAGGGTTTAGGGTTTAGGGGTTTAGGGATTTGGGGATTTGGGGGTTTAGGGTTGAGGGTTTAAGGCTCCCAAAACCATACCAAACCTTGCCAAACCCTAAACCTTGACCCAAAGTGCTTAGGGTTTACAAAGGATGTAAATTTGCCCGCCACGCCCCAAAAAACACTGACTACACCGCATATTCGATCGACAGCCTGAACAAAAGCTAAACCCTAAACCCTGAACCCTGAACCCTGAACTCTGAACCCTAAACCCTAAACCCTAAACCCTAAACCTCCCCAAGCTTCTGCTGTCCCCGCCGTAGTCTGATGAGCCCCAGGAAACCACGGAGCCATCGGCGCGGAGGGCAGCGAAGGCCTGCTCGGCGCCATGGATCTCGCGGACATCTCTCAGCTCCGCCTGGGCAAGGGACAGGGTTTAGGGTTTAGGGTTTAGGGTTTAGGGTTTAGGGTTTAGGGTTTAGGGTTTAGGGTTTAGGGTTTAGGGTTTAGGGTTTAGGGTTTAGGGTTTAGGGTTTAGGGTTTAGGGTTTAGGGTTTAGGGTTTAGGGTTTAGGCTCTAGGGTTTAGGCTCTAGGGTTTAGGGTTTGGTTTGGGGTGTTTAACCTTTCTTGGTATAAAGGCGCGTGTAGGGCCTAAACCCTGAAATATGGGGAAGAAGGGCTTACTCTGGGTCCTAGATAGGGTGTACTTAGGACCCAGAAATTTAGGGCTTTATGGGTGCCCCGCTGCAGTGCATGGTTTAGGGCAAGTTTTTTTCTTTTTTGTTTTCAGGGTTTAGGGGTTTAGGGATTTAAGGGTTAAGGGCTGCTCAGCCCTACCAACCCATCCGTGTATCCCGAGTCCCCAACAACCGGGACGTAGGGCGTTTTACGACCCAGCTGAAGCCCCAAACACCTGGACACCCCACACTGCCCTACACAACCGGAGCAACCCGAACCCCTCACGGCCGGAGGGAAGGGGCCAAGGGCGGTCTTTGAGCCCAAAGGCAAAGTTTGAGGCCCGAAGGGCCGAAATTTAGAGAACAGGGTTTCGTGGTTGAGGGTTCGGTGTCCCTTGGCCCTAAGCGTAGTTCTGAGCTGCCGAATCAGGTGATGTGCTACACCCCGACACCCGAAACCCTATAAACCCTACGCCCTAAGCCCTAAGCCCTGAGCCCGGAGCCCTAAACCCTGAACCCCGAACCCTGCACGTGGGTCCTTAAGGGGGGTGCCCGACATGTAGGGCTGTGGGTGCAGGGCTGATGGCTTTGTGGATGGGGTTCTTACGGGAGGGGGGTTTATGGGGGGGTCGGTAGCCAGGGAACCTTACGGAAGCTTAGGGAGACTTAGGGAGTAGTGGGGAGTATTAGGGAGCCTTGGGCTACAACCCTAAACCCTAAAACCTAAAGCCTAAACCCTAAACCCCCCCCCCCCAAACGTTTAGGGTCTCGGGTCTAGGGTTTAGGGTTTAGGGTTTGGGGTTTGGGGTTTAGGGTTTAGGGCTTCGGGTTTAGGGTTTAGGGTTTAGGGTTTAGGGTTTAGGGCTTAGGGCTTAGGGTTTAGGGGGGTTGAGAGCTGAGGGCTGCCTCTACAGCGCTGCTGTCTCCGCCCTGGGCGGGATCTCCCCAGGTGACCACGGAGCCTTGCAAGTCTCAAATCGGTCTAGAGCTTAGGGCTTAGGGTTTAGGGTTTAGGGTTCAGGGTTTAGGGTTTGGGGTTTAGGGTTTAGGGTTTAGGGTTTAGGGTTTAGGGTTTAGGGTTTAGGGTTTAGGGTTTAGGCACCACCAACTCATACCCTCCAAGGTTGGGCCGTCCTCTTGTGCTACTAAGTATACACTCTTCGGCCATCCATAGGAGGCACGAAGAAGGCCTCCCAGGGGTCCTTGTTGAGTAGGTCTGGATGCAAGGCGTTGGGGGGTGAGGTTTAAGACCCTAAACACGCCAAACCCAATAAGGAAAACCCTGAACCCTAAACGCTAAACCCTAACAACCCTAACAACCCTATAAAGCCTCAACCAGTCTAAGCTTGGGGTTTACGGCTTGGCCTTGCGAGTTACGGGTTTTGAGGAGATCAGGGAGTAGGGGTTCCCGGCAGGGCGGCCACGTTTAGGGTTTGGGGTTTAGGGTTTAGGGGTTCAGGGTTTAAGGGGTTTTGGGGTTTTGGGGTTTAGGGTTTAGGGGTTCAGGGGTTTAGGGGGTTTAGGGGTTTAGGGGTTTAGGGGTTCAGGGGTTCAGGGGTTTAGGGGGTTTAGGGGTTTAGGGGTTTAGGGGTCTAGGGGTTCAGGGGTTCAGGGGTTCAGGGGTTTAGGGTGAATAGCTGGCGTTCGTGAGCCTGAAAGGGGTTCCCACACACTGGCGTTTTCAAAATTTTGTCCCACGAAAGAATACCACAGAAAGAATACCACCAAAAACCCTAAACCCTAAACCCTAAACCCTGAACCCTAAACTGTGTAGGTACACAGACCCGTAGGCTTGGAGGCTCATACGGGGCGGCTGAAGGAAGGACACTAACTCTAGACCCAAGAGTAACCTAGGAATTAAAAGGGCCTACTCTGGGTCCTAGCCCTAAACCCTAAACCCTAAATCCTAAAACCCCTCAGCCTCAAAGCACGAAACCCAAACCCTTGCCTATGGCAGTAAGTGGTATTGGGGATTGGATTGAGCCGATTGTAACTTAGTTTTGGTGGGGGGGGGGGGGGGGGGAGGGACTTGGGCCAACAGTCCACTAATTTAAACCCTTGAAGCCCCGCCCCCCCAAAAGAAAGAACAAACTTCTCATCACCCCAAAACCCTAAAACCCTAAAACCCTAAAACCCTAAAACCCTAAAACCCTAAAACCCTAAAACCCTAAAACCCTAAAACCCTAAAACCCTAAAACCCTAAAACCCTAAAACCCTAAAACCCTAAACCCTAAAACCCTAAAACCCTAAAACCCCCAAACCCCAAAACCCCAAAACCCTAAAACCCTAAAACCCTAAAACCCTAAAACCCTAAAACTCTAAAACCCTAAAACCCTAAAACCCTAAAACCCTAATCCTAAATCCTAAATCCTAAGCCCTAAACCCTAAACAAACCCAAACACGACCAGAGGAAACAGGAAGCCGTCACCGCGAAGGGCAGCGAAGGCGTTGTGGGCAGCCTGGATCTTCTGCACATTCTCGAGCTGCTCCTGCTCGGTGTTCCCGGAGGGTCCATGTGCCTATGGGTTTAGGGTTTAGGGTTTAGAGTTTAGAGTTTAGGGTTTATGGTTTGGGGACCTCCTTTAGGGTCAACAGGGGTGAGGGCTTAGGGCTTAGGGTTTGGGGAGAACTTTCATTCTCGGGGCGCCTAAGGAACCCTTCCATGGTCCCTATATATACAATGATAACCCCCTAAACCCTACACCCTAAACCCTAAACCCCAAACCCTATTCGAATTATTTAGGCCCCCGCACCATGTTTCTGCCCTTTAAACCTACAAAGGGGTGCCGTGCTCCTGTACGCCGCTGCAGTCGCCGCCAGCGGCCGGCTCACCTTAGGTGGATTATGGGGGGTTTAGGGTTTAGGGTTTAGGGTTTAGGGTTTAGGGTTTAGGGTTTAGTTGTTATAGTGTAATTAGGGTTTAGGGTTTAGGGCTAGGACATACGAAATCATGCAGGGCTCCGTAGGGTTCATCGGGTTTTAGGATTTCATAGGGCCTGCAGAGGGCTAGGTAGCCCCATGTAGCCCCCAAACCCTAAACCCTAAACCCTAAACCCTAAACCCTAAACCCTAAACCCTAAACCCTAAACCCTAAACCCTAAACCCTAAACCCTAACCCTAAACCCTAAACCCTAAACCCTAAACCCTAAACCTAAACCCTAAACCCTAAACCCTAAACTACCCTAAACCCTCCTCCGATAATCAACCTGAGGCACCCCATGCCACCACGCGCCCATCGGCTCGTAGTGCGGCAAAGGCGTGCCGCGATGCCTGGATCGCCGTCACCTTCTCTCGATTTTTGTTTTTTTGTTTTTTTTTTTGGGGGGGGGGTGCTTGGGGTTTAAAAACCCCCTAAACCCGAAACCCTCAAGACCCGGATAATTGCAAATTGTATGTGATATTATTCTGAACTTGCAAAGTTGTTTGTTTAAGCTGGCGCCACACAAAACGGCGACCCCAAACAAGAGCCAAAACTTGAGGCCCCGAAAGGTCTGGCAAGGCCCGGCAGGCTCGAAATACCCCAGAAGGCCTCAAAAGGCACCAGAAAGGCCCGAAACCTCCCGAAAGCCCCCAAAAGGCACCGGACGTCCTTGTCAAAAGGAAAAGGAAGAGAAAAACCTAGTTTTCACCGGCCTTCCCAGCAAGAGGAAAAATGGCAAAATAAAAAAGTACTGTTTTCGCCGGCCTTCCATTTCCTCCTGCCCCGCCCCTTGTAAGGAAGGCCGGTGGGTACAAATCCCGAACCCCGAACCCTATACCATTTCTATAAACCCTAACACCCTAACACCCTAACACCCTAACACCCCAACACCCTAACACCCTAACACCCTAACACCCTAACACCCTAACACCCTAACACCCTAACACCCTAACACCCTAACACCCTAACACCCTAACACCCTAACACCCTAAACCCTAAACCCTAAACCCTAAACCCTACACCACACCCCCTGAACCTGCTGCAGCTGGCTCCGAACGCCGCTGCTGTCGCCCCCAGAGAAGTTTGAGCCCCAGGTGACTACCTTGGGGGGCAAAAACGAAACGAAGGTTTAGGGTTTAGGGTTTAGGGTTTAGGGTTCAGGGTTTAGGGTTCAGGGTTCAGGGTTCAGGGTTCAGGGTTTAGGGTTTAGGGTTTTTGGGGTGTTGGGATCATAGACCCCTAAATACAAAAGAGCCAGGGGCCGAACACGAAACGAATGTTTTATTGGGTCCAGGGTTTAGGATTTTGGGGTTTTGGGGAAATACTTTGGGGTAGTGTACTTGAGTTGGGGTCTAGGGTTTAGGATTTGGGGTGTTGGGATCGTCGACCCCGAAATATGCAGAGCCTCAAGGGCTTAGAAGCTTTAGGGCCTTGAGATCTAGGCTGCTTCTTGGGTACAGGGTAGTTTGAGGTAGTAAAGTTCGCACGAAACCTGTTTTTTGGGTTGGTCTGCGAACCCCTCAACTCCAAACCCTACACGCTAAACCCTAAATCCTAAACCCTAACCCCTACATCCTACACCCGAAACCCTAAAACCTACACCCGAAACCCCAAAACAAGGCACCACGGGGGGGGGGGGGGGGGGGGGCATCCTGGTCCGCGTGGACACTTCAAGTCGCCAAGAGAATCAGGTGAAGTACATAGGTTTCAGGGTTTAGGGTTTAGGGTTTGGGGTTTCGGGTTTGGGGTTTGGGGTTTGGGGTTTAGGGTTAGGGGTTAAGCCCATTGGTGATGAGGGCCAGAATGCAAACAGAGACCTGGAAGGGCCAAAGGTTTTGGGTTTAGGGTGTAGGGTTTAGGGTTCAGGGTTTAGGGCTTAGGGTTTAGGGCTTAGGGTTCAGGGTTTAGGGTTCAGGGTTCAGAGAAGGGACGGCTTTCTGCGACGGCTCTTTTCTCGAGGCGGAGCGACTTCTCCACATGCCAGCTTCAAATGCACGCAGTTCCACGTTGGCCCTTTGTGAACCCTCTGACAAGGTCCTAAGACTAAGATCCTGCTAAACCAAGCGGTTTAGGGCTAAGGGTTTAGGGTTTAGGGTTTAGGGGTTTAGGGTTTAGGGTTTAGGGGTTTAGGGGTTTAGGGGTTTAGGGGTTTAGGGGTTTAGGGGTTTAGGGGTTTAGGGTTTAGGGGGTTCAAGTATTTCAAGGGCCCGCCGAATCTAACGATTGCCCTGCGTCAGCCCGGGCGTCGAGCAAGAGGCGCAGGACTTCGGGACAGCCGCTGCCTTGGGCACGAAATGAACCCCCCCAAAATTGGGGTCATTATACCCTACACTACTATGGTTCCTATTAAGTAAGGGAAGATGAGCCCTAAACCCTAAACCCTAAACCCTAAACCCTAAACCCTAAACCCTAAACCCTAAGCCCATTTGGTCCCCAAGGTGCTCGATGCTGCCTCGAGTGGCGAGCTTCTGATGTACCAGTCGCTTTGACCCACAGGGTTTGTGCGAGCTTCCAGGAGACAACCTTGGGGAAGGGTTGGGGTTTAGGGTTTAGGGTTCAGGATTTAGGGTTTAGGGTTAGGGTTTAGGGTTTAGGGTTTAGGATGTAGGGATTTACAAGGGTCTAGGGTTCATACTACAATCATGGGAATAAAAGGTGTAGGGTTCATACTACCACAAGGGGACTGAAAGGTATAGGGTTCACACGACCATCATAGGAAATAAAATTTAAAAACCATAGGGTACACGACACCAAATTCAGGGTCCTAAACCCCTAAACCCTAAACCCTAAACCCTCGTAGTTGGCCCCCCCAAGGAACGAACCACCTCCTTGTGACCTTCCTCAGCTGCACACACCAGCGCCCGATGGCACTCGCGGCCATCGGGAGAAGCCTCCAACCTTGGGGACTACATAGGGTTTAGGGTTTAGGGTTTAGGGTTTAGGGCTAGGCCTTGGACCCTGAAGGTTGTACCCTTAGGGTTGGGGCCGCTGTTTCAGGATCCCTATAAGGGCCATTTTTGGGAGTATATTCAGGGGAACCTTCAGGGGTACAGCCTTCATGAAGCCTAGAACGGGTTCATGTTGGGATGTGTTCTTCTTGTAGTAACAGTCCTAAATGGGGATTATCTTACCCCCTTTCACCCTAAACCCTAAACCCTAAATCCTCAATAGGGATTATCCTACCCTCTATAACCCGAAACCCTAAACCCTAAATCCTCAATAGGGATTATCTTAGCCCCTATAATGATCCCTATTAAGGACTGTTGGTATAAAGGGGAAACATCCCAAGGTTCATGGTTCATCTACCCTAAGAGGGCTATTCGTAGCAATATGGGTTTAGGGTTTAGGGTTTAGGGTTTAGGGGGGTTCATTTGCTCCCCAAGGAGCAGCTCACGCACCACCTGAGCGTGGCCTTCTCTGGCGGCTTCAACAAGAGCTTCTGCCACAGTAGTACCTAGGGTTTAGGGTTTAGGGTTTTACGGTTGGCCCCTCAAAATTGAAGTTTTTGTGAAGATCTAGTCCTGACAAGGGGATCCTCGTAGACCCTAAGCCCTAAAGCCTTAAAGCCTTAAAGCCTCTAAGCCTCTAAGCCTCTAACCTGTCAACCCAAATAAGAGAAACCCTAAACCCTAAACCCTAAACCCTAAACCCTAAACCCTAAACCCTACACCCTAAACCCTAAACCCACGAAATATAAAGTATCCCAAAGGCCTACCCAGTAGCCAAGCCGGAAATCCTGGAGTGGCAGTGCGGCTTGCAACCTCTGCTCTGCATCCCGAAAAAGATTGAACCGAAAGAGGGGTTTAGGGTTTAGGGGTTAGGGTTTAGGGTTTAGGGTTTAGGGTTCAGGGTTTAGGGTTTAGGGTTTAGGGCTTAGGGTTTCGGGGATTAGGGGTTTGAGGTTTAAGGTTTAGGTCGAAAGTATCTTCGAGAGGAAACTTCTAGGGTATTTAAGGCTTAGGGTGAAAGTATTGCTGGACAAGCAGGTATGTGGCACAAGGCGTACCACGGCCGCATGGCCATTGCGAGAGGCCTCCTCAATCCCTGACCAATTCACCGGGCTCGCCCCGGCATCCAGAAGCATGCGGACGACTTCCAGATGACCTGCAAGTTTCCGAGAAGAGGGGTACTCTTTTTGGGGCCCCTTTTAAGGGGATTCTGTTCCATTTGGGGTATTAAAGGCGTACCCCCAAATTTGGGGAAATGCGGAAATGCCCACCTTGTTCAGAGGCACGTATTAGTGGTGAGTCTTTGTAGGTGTCCATGATGAAGAAATTACTCTCCGGGTCGGCCCGTACATCCAGTAGCAGCTTAACCATCTCGGCGTCCCCTGCCTCCGATGCGTCTCGAAGAGCCCAGGCTACCTCCTCTTCCTTGGCTTGGGTTTAGGGTTTTTAGGGGGTTTAGGGGGTTTAGGGGGTTTAGGGGGTTTAGGGGGTTTAGGGGGTTTAGGGGGTTTAGGGGGTTTAGGGGGTTTAGGGGGTTTAGGGGGTTTAGGGGGTTTAAGGGTTTAGGGGATGTAGGGGGGGTTTGGGGGGCATGGGGTTTAGGGTATGCTGCTTGAAGCTGCCGAAAGCTCTGCGATGTCTTCTAAGACGGCATGCGTTCCAAAAAACTTGCCACTGCATCTCTGTGCAAGCATCTAGCCAATCTAGCCTCAGACACAATTCCTTGTTCAGTGTATTGTATTGCGTTGTAGTGCATGTGTATTGTAATTATTGTAACTATTGTATTGTATTGTCTTGTCTTGTATTGTGTTGGTATGGTAACGTATTCTATTGTAGTCTGTATGTTGTATTGCATTGTATGCTGTAATTATGCCGTATGCTGTATGCTGTATGCCGTATGCCGTATGCCGTATGCTGTATTGTGTTGTGTTGTATTGCGTTGTCTTGCATTGTATAGTATTGTATCCTATGGTATGTTGATTCTTATTACTAGTCTGGTTGCGAACCAAACCCCATGCTGGAGCATCCCAGAAAATCAAAAACATAATGTAATTCCCATAATTAATACTAACTAAGAATATGTAATCACGAAGGTAGAATACAACACAATGCAAAACAATACAGCACAAGACAATACACACAATGCCACTACAAATACAAATACAAATACAAAAGCAAGTACAAATACAACTGCAAGTACAAATACGAGTACAAATACAAATACGAATACGAATACAAGAGCAAGTACAAATACAAGTACAACTACCAATATTGCCAATATAAATACAATGCACGACTAGTTGCTTAAGAACCCCGAAAAGATTTCTTCCTGATTAAGGATAATATTAGGATTGATAGGTTAGCACATTGTAGTACTGCAGAATGAACTACGGGCAGCCAACTCCCTGAGCCAAGGCACCAGCTCCTCGGAGACCTTGGTAACCCCCAGCACCCATCTCATAATGAGGGTTTGGGGTTTAGGGTTTAGGGTTTGGGGTTTAGGGTTTAGGGTTTGGGGTTTAGGGTTTAGGGTTTAGGGTTTAGGGTCGCAGTAACCATCTTATCATAAGGGTACCTTTTGTCGGTTGGTTACTTTCTAAGGGGACCTTGAACCAAAAGAAGAGAGAAAAGGGTACCGCCGGGCTTCCAAGAGACTGGAAGCAACACGAGTTGAACATCCATCGGTGAATCGAAGGAGAAGCTGTCGTCTAAAATGTCGCCGCCGTGCAGGAGCCTCCATTTGCGCAGAAGAGCCTAAACCCTAAACCCTAAACCCTAAACCCTAAACCCTAAACCCTAAACCCTAAACCCTAAACCCGACACCCTAAACCCTAACCCCTGGAGCCCAGGGTTCTAGTACCAAGACATGGAACCCAAGTTGGCCCTGAGACCTCTTAAACCCTGAGCCCCGAACCCTAACCTTTAAACCCTTGCCTTTGCAGACATCCTGGCCCCCAAACCCTAATCTTTAAAGGGCTTAGGGTTTAGGGTTTCGGGTTTAGGGTTTAGGGAACCCTCGCCTTTGCAGACATCCTGGCGCATGGCAATGCCACTCCAAGCACGCCTTCAACGATGCCACATCCTCGTCTGCTCTTTGCTTGGGACCTAGACTACTAATTGCATAAGAACCTTAAAGGGGTTTATCAGGGTTTAGGGTTTAGGGTTTATAAGGGAAACCTAAACCCCCCAAAAAGGGAATTAAAGGACCGGATAACCCCACATGCAAAGTTATAGGTGATTTTGAATGAGTGAGGGAGTAAGCGAGTGAGTGAGTAAGTGAGTACAGTTTCCCCCTAGGCGTCAATCCCAAACCTTTGACTTGAAACTCTAGACGCTAACCCCTAAAACGTTCAAAGCCGTATCGGCCACGGTTGGACCCATGACGGCGTCGGACCCCTGGCTGTTGCTGGCCAGACCTCTGCTGTTGCCGGCCAGACCTCTGCCGTTGAGGGGTGTGTGTGTGTGTGTGTGTGTGTGTGTGTGTGTGTGTGTGTGTGTGTGTGTCTGTGTGTGTGTGTGTGTGTGTCTTTGTGTGTGTGTGTGTGTGTCTCTGTGTGTGTGTGAGTGTGTCTCTGTGTGTGTGTGTGTGTGAGTGTGTCTCTGTGTGTGTGTGTGTGTCTCTGTGTGTGTGTGTGTGTGTGTGTGTGTGTGTGTGTGTGTCTGTGTGTGTCGTGTGTGTGTGTGTTGTGTGTGTGTGTGTGTCTGTGTGTCTGTGTGTCTGTGTGTCTGTGTCTGTGTGTTGTGTGTCTGTGTGTCTGTGTGTCTGTGTGTGTGTCTGTGTGTCTGTGTGTCTGTGTGTGTGTCTGTGTGTGTGTGTCTGTGTGTCTGTGTGTGTCTGTGTGTCTGTTGTGTGTGTGTCTGTGTGTCTGTGTGTCTGTGTGTCTGTGTGTGTGTGTGTGTGTGTGTGTGTGTCTGTGTGGTTGTGTGGTGTGTGTGTGGGTGCGTCGTGCGTGCGTGCGTGCGGCGTGCGTGCGTGCGTTGCGTTGCGTGCGTGCGTGCGTGCGTGCGTGGGTGGGTGGGTGGGTGGGTGGGTGGGCGGGCGGGTGGGTGGGTGGGTGGGTGTGTGTGTGTGTGTGTGTGTGTGTGTGTGTGTGTGTGCGTGTGTCGCGCACGGCACCGGTCCAGGGCCCCTAAATGCCGCGCCTGCCAGCACAGACGACACCTGTGTCGCGCCTGCCAGCGTTTCCCGCGGCCCGAGCACGCGCGCGGCACCGGCCCAGGGCCCCTAAGTACCGCGCCTGCCAGCACAAACGACACCTGTGTCGCGCCTGCCAGCGTTTCCCGCGGCCCGAGCGCGCGCGCGGCACCGGTCCAGGGCCCCTAAATGCCGCGCCTGCCAGCACATGACACCTGTGTCGCGCCTGCCAGCGTTTCCCGCGGCCCGAGCGCGCGCGCGGCACCGGCCCAGGGCCCCTAAGTACCGCGCCTGCCAGCACAAACGACACCTGTGTCGCGCCTGCCAGCGTTTCCCGTGGCCCGAGCGCGCGCGCGGCACCGACCCAGGGCCCCTAAATGCCGCGCCTGCCAGCACAGACGGCACCTGTGTCGCGCCTGCCAACGTTTCCCGGCCCGAGCGCGCGCGGCACCGGCCCATGGGCCCCAAAGTACCGCGCCTGCCAGCGTTTCCCGCGGCCCGAGCGCGCGCGCGCGGCACCGGCCCAGGGCCCCTAAGTACCGCGCCTGCCAGCACAAACGACACCTGTGTCACGCCTGCCAGCGTTGGCCCGAGCGCGCGCGCGCGGCACCGGCCCAGGGCCCCTAAATGCCGCGCCTGCCAGCACAGACGACACCTGTGTCGCGCCTGCCAGCGTTTCCCGCGGCCCGAGCGCGCGCGCGCGCGGCACCGGCCCAGGGCCCCTAAGTACCGCGCCTGCCAGCACAAACGACACCTGTGTCGCGCCTGCCAGCGCTTCCCGCGGCCCGAGCGCGCGCGCGCGGCACCGGCCCAGGGCCCCTAAGTACTGCGCCTGCCAGCACAAACGACACCTGTGTCACGGAGTGAGTGAGCGTGTGAGTGTGTGAGTGTGTGAGTGGTGTGAGTGAGTGAGTGAGTGAGTGAGTGTGTGTGTGTGTGAGTGGTGTGAGTGAGTGAGTGAGTGAGTGAGTGAGTGAGTGTGCGTGAGTGTGTGTGTGAGTGAGTAAGTGAGTGTGTGTGAGTGAGTGAGTGAGTGAGTGAGTGAGTGAGTGAGTGAGTGAGTGAGTGAGTGAGAGTGTGAGTGAGTGAGTGAGTGAGTAAGTGAAAGAGGGGAAGAAGGAGGAAGGAGGGAGGAGGAAAGAGGAGGAGGAAGGAGGAGGAGGACGAGGAGGAGGAGGCGGGACAGCCCCAAAAGTAAGAACCCCACACAAAGATGTGGGGAATAAGGTACTACTGGGTAACCGAAGAGTAGAGAGGGGACGCTGCTTTGTCTGGGTCCGAGTCGCTTGCACCTAAGTCAAGGATCAGGGCTTAGGCGCGGGGTGAAGGAAACCTAACTAGAAAATTCAAGACCCTTTCGGAAGCCTACTGCCCAAACCCCGAATCCCAACCCAGATGGGCATTTCCCAAAATGGGGGTACCCATTTTTATACCCCAAATAGAAGAATCCCCTTGAAGAGGCCCACCAAAAAGGCTACCCCACCCCACACCCCCCCCCCCCCAAAAAAAAAAAAAAAATCGGAAACCCAAGCGAGACATGGTCTCGGTCCTTCGGTTCCTAAACCCTGAACCCTAAACCCTAAACAACTGCATCCCAGAATCGCTCACTTCGTCTAAGGCGAAGGCGGCCAGCTCTTTCCCAGAGGCTTGGAGAACACGCAGCGTCTTCTTCCCAGCTAGCCTTGCCTCCTTGGTTGCTGAGTTCATAAGCCCCCCCCCCCCCCCAAAAAAAAAAAAAAAAAAAGAAAGTGCACACTTTCTGTCTTATAGGGGTTCTAGCTGAGTTCATAAGCCCCCAAAAAAGTGCACACTTTCAGTTTGATAGGGGTTCTAGTATCCCAAAAAGTGTAAAAGTGTACTCACTCAGCTGCTAAGCCTCTCCTTCCTCTAGGTGTGATTGAGGAAGAGCGCTCTTCCCTCCCCAGGAACCGCCTCCTTTCCCTTTTCCTTCGTCAGCGGGCTTGCCTTTGGAGGCACCTTTTGGCTTGCCGCCCTTCCATGGCTTGCCTTTTGTGACTGCATCGATCTCCATGGGAACTAGCTCGGAATTCGGGCCAAGTGTTGAGATGTGCGTCAGGAAGACTTGCGCTCTTTCTGTTCATGGTGAGGGAGGGGGAGGGGTACCCCTTTTTTATACACCGAAACAGAATCATTGAAACCCCCACCCATATGCTGTGTGACGCCCATCTTCTTGTGCTTGTTTAAAGGCTGAGTCGCGTACCACAAGATTGAAAGGAAGGATCCATGTGCGGTAATCTTGCAAGTGACATTGCATTGCCTTCCCTCCAAGATATACCCTAAACCCGAAACCCTGAACCCTAAACCCTAAACCCTGAACCCTAAACCCGAAACCCTATAGGCTACGTGTCGCGGTAGGATGGATCAGAGCTCCCTCACGAGCTGGTATAAAACACATGCCCAAGAGGACCCAGCCGCGGGTCAAAGGCTTTTGAAGGAAGGTTTAGGGTTTAGGGTTTAGGGCTTAGGGCTTAGGGTTTAGGGTTTAGGGTTTGGGGTTTGCGGTTTAGGGTTTATGGTTTAGGATTTGGGGTTCAGGGTTTAGGGTTTGGGCTCAAAGTTGAGGGAGTTTGGGGACTGTAAGGCCGAACGTAGCGCATGATCCAGGCGATTGCAATCCTAAGCTGAAACCGCCTAAACCTCCTGACCCCACTAAACCAACCCTAAAGCCGTACCCACATCCTAGCTCATGTACAACCCCGAACCCTATTTACAGAAAAAACAACCTTGTGACCGAAGCTCCAGGTGCCTTTGAACCAAGCAGACGGCATCAGTGGCGTGCATGAAATTTATTCAACCAAACCTCTCACCCTAAACCCGAAACCCTGGACCCTAAACCCGAAACCCTAAACCCTAAACTCTAAACCCTAAACCCTAACATCCCCCCAGAACACAGAACATGTGCTTGCTGGTTCCGAAGGCCGAAATGAGGGTATGATACGGGTGTTCAGGGATCTCGACAACCGCAAACCAACCTCAGCCCTAAACCCTTAACCCTAAACCCTAAACCCTAAACCCTAAACCCTAAACCCTAAACCCTAAACCCTAAGGCCTAAACCCTATAGCCACAAACCCCTGAGATCCATGTACCTATATCGTATGAACATCGTAGATACTTGGGCCGTAAAGGGGGTTGCCATGTAGTGGCTTGAGGGCCCAAGAAATATGCGAGAAACCCCGAAACCCAAAAACCCTAAAAATGCCTAAAAACCTTAAAAACCCTAAAACCCCCAAACCCTGAACCCTGAATCAACCTCAAACCCTAAACCCTAAACCCTAAACCCTAAACCCTAAACCCTAAACCCTAAACCCTAAACCCTAAACCCTTCAGGAGGGGAAGGCTAAGGTCAAGAGGCCGACCCATCCGCCCGCAGCGCCGCAAAGGCGGCGACGCTGGCCTGGATCGCCAGCACCCCATGGAGCTGCGCCTGCCGGGGTGCTGCAGGGTTTGGGGTTTGGGGTTTAGGGTTTAGGGTTTAGGGTTTGGGGTTTGGGGTTTGGGGTTTAGGGTTTGGGGTTTGGGGTTTAGGGTTTAGGGTTTAGGGTTTAGGGTTTAGGGTTTAGGGTTTAGGGTTTAGGGTTTAGGGTTTGGGGTTTAGGGTTTAGGGTTTAGGGTTTAGGGGTGTGGCCAGTCAACCGAGGGCTTAGGCTTAGGTGTTTAGGGTTTAAGATCGTTTAAGCTACGGTTTCGGACATGCCGGTTCTTCAACGATGACCAGCTCTGGCTCGTTGTTTCTTGTTTCCAATCTCTCTCTCTCTCTCAATCTTTATTCTTGTTCCTGTGTGATGTTTTTCTTCGTATTGATACGTTTCTTCCTCTTCTGGACTTAGGGTTTCGGGTTTGGGTTTAGGGTTTAGGGTTCGGGGTTTCGAGTAGGGGGCAGGGGGTGTGGCCACCCCACTCCTTGAGGGACCAGATGAGCCCTAAAAGGGTTTATGGCTCATATTACCTTAGTAGGAACCATCATAGTCTAGGGTATACCTTAATAGGAACCATCGTAGTAGAGGGTATACCTTCATGGGAACCCTAGTAGTAGTAGAGTATACCTTCATAGGAACCATCGTAGCAATTAGGGGGTATAATGACCCCAATTTGAGTGTTCATTTCGTCCCAAGGCTCTCAGTGGTCCCTGTGTGCGATCCCTCGCGGCCCACCCTATCTTTTGCACACAGTAGAGTTTAGGGTTCAGGGTTTAGGGTTTCGGGCTTAGGGTTTAGGGTTTAGGCAGGCAGCCATTGGTAGATGTTGTGGGAGGCATGCGCTTTTGCTGTGCTTTTTTACTTTTGTGACCGTGGCCGGCGCGGGTAACTTTCTGGGATGCCTGCTCCGCGCACAGGTGCATGCAGATTTTCTCTTTTGGCCCTTAAGGGTTGTTCGCCCTAGATGCTGCGCAAACCTTTCCAGCCTTTTCCCTCGGGAGAGGTCGATCAAGTGGGGCGCACCAGTGCTCGACATTCCGCAAAGGGAGTGCTCCCCTTTCAGCTAGGGGCTCCTTAACATGGGCATTTGCAAAAATTAGGGGTACCCCAAACAGAATAGAACCCCTAAATAGAACACCACCCTAAACCCTAAACCCGAAACCCTAAACCCGAAACCCTAAACCCCCCAAGTCCACATCGGAAACCCGCAAAAACGGCGACAGAACAACTCGGAGCCTCTCGTAAGGCAGCACAACGGTGCTCGAGGCGCTCTCACTCTCTCTCTCTCTCTCGCTCTGTCTCTTGCTCCGCTTTTTTCTCTTCTTTCTAAACGGGTTTCGGGTTTAGGGTAATAATTTCTAGTAAGGACAGTTGGTATAAGGGGGAACATCCCACCCTAACCCTAGACTCGACCCCAAACCCTGAAAACTCGAAAGCCCCTGAACCTTGGATCCCAGAAACCACTAAACGCAAGCCCCCCTAAACCCTTACCCCAAAATTCTTTCAAACCCCTGAGCCCTAGACCCCTAAACCGTACCCGAACCCGGACTTATACACCCTGTGTCCCTAAACCCCTATGTTAATCCATATGCCCCTAAGCCCTCTTCCCCTAAACCCTAAACCCTAAACCCCCACAAAACAAAAAAAAGACAAGACAAAAAACAAGGCGCCTTCACAGGGCCGCTGTCTCCTCCGCAGCCCACGCCGCCCCAAGTCACCACCGCGCCGTCGCCGCGCAGCGCAGCGAAGGCCGTCTCGTTGGCCTGGATGCACCTCGCTTATTATGGAGGTCCGTGGGTAAGTAGAAGTAGGGTTTAGGGTTTGGGGTTTGGGGTTTAGGGTTTAGGGTTTAGGGTTTAGGGTTTAGGGGCTTAGGGGCTTAGGGGCTTAGGGGCTTAGGGGCTTAGGGGCTTAGGGGCTTAGGGGCTTAGGGGCTTAGGTTATAAGTGCCCAAAATATGGTTATCTGTATAGTTGTCTTAATTATAACCCTGCTTATAACTACGCATTAATAACCTTCAAGCGGCTGTTCGTGACAAGGGTTCAGGGCCAAGGTCTTGGGTGTAGGGGGTTTAGGGCTTTGAGGGCTTTAGGGTTTAAGGGCTTGAGGGTTTTAGGGCTTAGGGCTCAGGGGTTTTAGGTTCATTTTGGTGTTGTAAGGTTTCAGGGTGCATTTTGGGGGTTTAAGACTTGAATGCTCAAGGTTCGAAGTAGTTCCTGTATAGTGACTACGTAGGTACATGAACTGGTCTGGACAACATGCTTTGCAGGTTCTGCTTCTCCATTACTCTACTTCCAAGGATCTACGAATTCGGAAACTTTCGCCCTTAACGGCACACTAATAAGATCCTGGAATCCTGGAAGTATAAGACTTGGTCGGATCTCTTGGGTGTAGCGGGTCTTATGGTCTAGAACCCTCAGGGTCCATGTACCTACATAGTATATACCTGGGCCTTAAATGGGGTTCCCATATATCTTAGGGTAGCAACATGGTCCCCTAGTATGGGAGGGTACCCCTTATGTACCCCCCCCCCCCCCCCAAAAAAAAAAAAAAATCCCTATACAACTTAAGGGCCCACACAATACCCTAAGGGTCCATGTACCTAATATGGAATACTTGGGCCTTAAAGTACCTCCTATTTCGGGACTTTTGGGCCCAAGTTTATAACAACGAGGTACATGGGCCCTCAGGGTTGGAACCCTTTAAGGGAGGTTAGGGCGGTCAGGGTATATGGAGATGCACGGAACTACCAGGAGGTTCTACAGGCCTCGCTTCTTCGATGAGCTGTTGTAGGGTTTAGGGTTTAGGGTTTAGGGTTTGGGGTTTCGCTCCTCCACGTGAAGGGCTTGATGCCTTGCCTAGGCACTGCACGTCGCTCAGCTCTGACTGCACAGAGCTACTGTCGCCTCCGCAGGCGTCGTCGCCCCAAGTCACCACCTTGGGGGACGAAATGAGCCCTAAAACTGGGGTCATAATACCCTAAACTACTACTGTAATTCCTATTGAGGTACCCTAAACCCTAAACCCTTGACCCCAGTCCCTAGACCCTAGGCCCTGAACCCTAAACCCTAAACCCTAAACCCCTTTTAGGGTTGATTTCGTCCCCAAGGCACAGAACCCTCAGCCGTAATCGCAGCAAAGGCGAGGCAGGTGGCCTGGATCTGTCGTACATTCCTGGGCGCTTTCCGTGACCCCCTAGAAGCCCAAAACCCTAAACCCTAGAAACCTGTTGGCCGGCGGGGCCCAGGTTATGCACTGATTGCATGTCATCAGGTGGATTGGAGGACGGCATGGCAATGGGATTATGGCGATCGGACATGGGATTTTCTCACGCACACCACAGCAGATCTGCAATGCTGTAAGTTGCTTATGTCGAGTGTGTGCTGCCTCTCTATGTCGGATGTCCTGGCCTGTCTCGATTCGAGCCTCCGGCTCTGAAGAGTCGCGCCACAGCAATCAACCTCAGGCAACACTCCTCCTTGGACCATCCCTTCGGGAGCAGTCCACGCCAATGAATTCAGCGAGCCAGCCTCGTCTCGACTTGCTCTCATCCGAAGACTCTGTCTCCAGGTCACTGAGCTCCGCTCAAGCGTGTCTCCAAGTCTCAATCCACTTGGAGATCTCTGCTCTGGTACACACCTCGCTCCAAAGCAAGTGATGTCGGCCGGAGATGCTACGATGACGCCAGATGTAAAGGACATAGCGAAGCTGCCTGGTGGACGGGAGCATTGAGCCGGCGGGAGGCTCCTCAGCTCCGAAGTAATTCTTCAGCCTCTCTGCCAAATCTCCTTTCACCCCTGACGTAGGCTGACCTTGAATCCTCAATGCCTGTCGGAGGTGTTCAACCGTCATCAGCATGAGGAGATCTCTAGCCACTCGCAACCTTTCTCTCATATCAGCATCATCTTGGCGAACTTCCGTAGGCACATCCGAGAAAGCTGATAGACCATCGTGGGCGGTAGTAGGGGAACTCTGGCTAGCTGCTCGTCTTCGTAGGGTCACCGGCCGCGAACTCGGTGCTTCCATCACGATCGTCGGTGGCTCATCCAGATCAGCTGCTGTGGCCTGGATTGCAACTTCAGTTTGGGCCGCCCTCGAAACCAGATTCCTCACCTGCTCCAATTTCGATGCCTTCTTTGCACGCCGATGCTGTCGAAGTCCCCATCGATACACCAGTTTCGCACCCTCCCAGCAACCGATGATCGAAGCACATATCATCACGGTGATGCACATGAGCTCAAGATAGTGGATTGTCGGGATCGGCTCCTTCAAGTCCTCATCTTCCAACGAGCTTCCGGTGGCCGGTGTGAACAACGAGATCACTGTGAGGATCGCTGCTAGGATCTTCAGTTGGAGAGTGGCCAAGGTCTCTGCGATTCTGAACCCAACAAAACCCCAGAGCTCTAAGAGCTGGCGAAGGCGGACCTTTGTCATCATCTTGGTAGCCAGATCGGCCAACTGTTGGACTCCTGGGGTGTGACGAATCTCCAGCAATCCCAGCTCAGTGGCTTCTCGAAGATAATGTGCTCGGATCTTTAGGTGTCGCGTCCTTTGCGACCCCGGTCCACCTCGACACATCGCAGCCGCCGATGTGTTGTCTATAGCCAGCACGCGCTTGTAGACCCCTGGCGCCAACTCATCCAAAATGGCCGCAATCGAGTCCAGGAGGTTGCAGCCCTGGGTGGCGGCATAGAGCTCTGCCTCCATCACGCTCATAGTAATGAAGCTCTGCCTGCCAGCTTTCCAGGCTACAGGAACGCCGCATTGAACGATCACTGCCGCCCCGAAGCTCCTCGAACCATACGGGGCATAGCTTGCATCTGTGTAGCACACGAGCTCCTTGGGCTTGTCGAGCCTTGGTGCCATACGCAATCGCATCCCTGCTGTTGCTGCCAAATACGACATCAATCGTTTTCCAAGCCTTGCCACATGCAGAGGTCGACGTCCTACATGGGTCGCCATGTGGTTTACCACAAAAACGATATCTGGTCTCGTCTTCATGGCTAGCCAGGAGACCTCGCCAACATATCGTTGGCCCATGCGTAATTCCTCCTCGGAGAAATCCTCGGGCTCTGGTTCTTGAAGCTCCACCTGTTCCAGCCATTCACGAGGTACCGGAAGTTCTGTGTGCAACGCATCCTGGAGGTCATGGGCACGCAACAGCTCCATGATGTATGCTTGCTGGCTAATGCTGTAGCTGGCTCCCTCCTTTTTCACTTCCACTCCCAGATATCTGACGGCAGTGTTCTCGTTGATCCACTCCAAATCCGAAGTAGGCCACTCCTCTTTCACGAAGTTGTGCAGGCACTGGATCACCGGGGTGTTGCCGAAGTAGAACAAATCATCGACGTACGTCACAACAGGGCCGTGCAACCGCTTGGAGGAATCTCTCACTAGCCAAAGCTCCGATTCGGCTATCGTGGGGGTAAGGGTCAACTCCAGGGAACCAAACTTGATCTTCGCCGCCTTCAATCTGGCATTCCTGAAGTTGCTCCATATGGCTGGACTCTCTCTGAGTCCATATAGTGGGCGCACAATGACCCACGTCTCATCACTCGCAGCTCCTGCATCCCTCACTACCTTTGGCGGTCTCATCCCATATTTTGGCATGTCACCAGGCCATGTCGCGAGGAGAAAAGCTGTCACGATGTCAGCAGTGGCCCCATCCCAGTGATGCATCGCCGCAGTCACTAGAGCCACACGCAGAGCTTCCGTGCTAGCACCCGAGGCGTACAAGGACATGTTGGAGGGATCGACGTAGTTCCCGCAGATGACGGTCCGGCACTTCCGCCGGTACTTGCCCCCCTTTGATTTCGGAGGCTTGAGCGTGAAGACGCATTTGGCCGGGGCCATCTTCAGCTCCCCTGCTGATTCCATGTCCATTGCCTGCTGGTGGGAGACCTTGACGATGGTGCCAGAATTGAAGAGTGCCGTCACCTCCTCTTTGATGGCTTCCACCCATCGTGAGAGAACGCTCTTCACTTGTTCCAAAGGCACATTGTGGATAACGTCCAAGTCCCCTTCCAGGTCCGCCAACAATTGCTCGTAATCCACTTCCGCCATCTCCTGATTGCCTGTGGCCATGCTAGCAATCCTCAAGCAATTCAACATGCGAACTCGTTCAATCTCCACAATCTGCTCATGGGTCTCCTCCAAGAATTTCGACACCGCATTTCTGGTATCGTTCAGCGTCTCCCTCGTAACGTCTCCACACCTGCGGTACTCTTCTGCAAGGATCTCTTCCTCTTCAAGCAAGTCTCTCAGTCTCGTTGCCCGTTCGTCCAAATCCTTGAGCACCATCTCCAAGTCCTCATTGATTGAGCGCAGAGGGCGGAAATCGTTCGGTGATCCCAACCCCCTCGTCTTTGGCGCGCTAGACTGTGCCTTGGCGATCCTTGGTGGCGACGATGTGATGGGACGTAGTGGGAACCCCAGCTCATGAAGACGTTGTCGGTCCTCCTCCTTGATCTTTTCCACGCCTCGAGTGTGGTATCCGACAAGGACCAATCTATCTCCTCCTGACCAAGGAAGCGTAGAGTGTTTCACCTTGGGGTCGAACTGCACGGTCCCTTCATTCACTTTCAGCTGATAGGACTCCTCCCCAGCTGGCTCCATCAGCAAACCTCCTCCCTCAAACTTCGAAAGTGGGGTGATGATGTTCATGCCCAAATTGTGCACATCCTTGTGAGCCTTCGTCTGCATGTTGATAAACAGGGCCACCGCTGAGAAGGAGGCATCCGGTTGGAGTTGCTTCAAGTACTTGGTGAGGACTCTCGTGGTGCAGGGGAAAGCAGATGACGATGACCGGACCCCCGCCACACCTCCATGGACGAAAGTGCCCGACGACCACCAGCCGCCATCTTCACCTGTTTCACCAAATCTCTTCGGGGCGTCGGTCTTCATTGGTAACAACCCCGCCAGTACTTCCACTTGATCCTTCTCCAGGAACTCCTCCTCAAGCAGCACCCTCGCATACTCTTCTGCGGGATGCCCGGGGTCCACTAGATGCTCAACATCCTCCTCCTGAGGTTCCTCCATCGTGTTTGGTTTTTGTTTGCCCACCACTCTTCTGACAGGCTCTGTGACGATGGCTTCAAACTCGGGCTTACCACCAAGCTTGTCTGAGTCTACGAGGTTCGGACGCAAGTGCTGGGACGTCAGGTAAGTGCCATCATCACAACGAACCACATGCCCGCCGCGAACATCCACACTAGGTCCCACATAGTAGCCTGGCTTCCACCTCGAGTTCAAATCGTACTTGCCACCAGTGCCGTAGACCTTGGATCTGAGGTGAACTCTGGAGCCGAAAGGAAGGAGGTCAGCGCCGCGTCCCATAGCTCTTTCCCTCTGCGCCCAGGCCGAATAGGTCATGGCAGCCGTCCAACACGACCGAGGAACAGGCGTCGAGAGGAGAAGTCGTTTCGCCTGATTTTTCATCCATTTGACTGCAGCTTCCGCTCTTCCGTTGCTCTGCGGTGACTGGCCTTCGGTATACGTAGCAATGGTTCCCCGTTGTAGTAGCCACCGCCTCAAAGCCGTACCCCTCAACTCCCGAGCTCGGTCAGCATGAACTCGAACAATCGGAAAACCTTCTGCACGCAGTTTGAGGTAGATCTCCTGCACGGCGGCGCCGATCTCGTTTGTCGTCCGAGTGCGCAACGGATGAGCCACATAGAGAACTTGAAACTCCGGGTTCCCGTCACCAACTTCCTCACCGAACAACTTCTTGAAGTCTTCATCTGACAATCCAACGGGTAGTTCTTCTTCTGGAAGTGGTGCAAGGTCCTCCTCCTCTTCCGCAAACATGTCGTCGAAGGAAATGGCACCCTGCTCCCCGACAAGGTCCTCCACACCCACGCCACCTATGACGCTCTTCCCTTCCATGACAGGATGGAAACGATGGCCCTCATCTACACCTTCTTCTTCCGCTGGATCCGGTGGTGGTGGTGGTTCTGGGTTTTCTTGGTCTTCTTTCTTCTTGAAGGACTCGAGCTTAGGAAAGAGATAAGCTCCCACCAGCATGTAGCGATAATCCCGGTGATCAGGATCTTCACCTCGTTGTCGTAGTGGTCCGAGAATGTCCAGCGATAGGCAGTACGAGCTCGGTGTCTTCACCTTCTTATGCATCCGTCCCAGCCCTGATGCTTCGACACAGGTACGGCATCTTCGGTTAT